GGCGGCCGCCCCCGCCCCGCCAACGCTCAAGGGCACGGTGGACGGCGCTCTGAGAAACCTCAGCGACTTGAAGACGGCCCAGCTCCTGGCCAGCGGCTTGCCCCGCGGCCCCCTCGCAAGGTCCCTCCCAACCCAAACCATTCTATGATTCTATGCTGCAGCTTGGCTTAAAAAGTCAAAAACATGTAGACAAACTTTAACAAGTCTTCTCCACAGAATTAAGTACCAATTTAATTAAAAGTGCCAGAAAACTTGCTCTACTGAACAGACACAATGCTATACCAATGTAACCACACCAGTTTGAGCAATAGTTTAACTTAAAAATATACCAGTATAAAGTAATTAATGTGACAGCTGATATATCATCAGTGTAAAGATACCTTGTTCAGATATAATTTAGGAGTCCACAGGCAGCTCTGATATATCTTTTTGCAGAAGTCAAACACATTGCACCATTCCCACTCATTTCATGTATCCCTGTGTTTTATATTTCAGCTCACATCACCAGCGGAGGCAGGTTTGCACTCAGGTATGTACAGTGAACCAGCATTTGTGGTTTGTTCTCAGCATTTCTGCTAGGGGTGGCAATAAGATCTTACACCAACTGCTCCGCGAGTGTGAGTTCAGAAACAATAATAAAGGGAGAACCATGTAATCACTTATAGTAGTGTAAATAGTCAGACCATCCACAGCAGAAAACTGCACTGCTCTCAGTGTGCTGTTGCTATATAGATACTTGCAAAGGTAGCTGAGGAGGTGGAGGCGGTTGGTTGGGGTTTTGGGAGGAAAAGGGGTGATTTTGATTTGTAGGGGGGTTGTTTATTTGCTGTTGTGTTTCTTGTTTTGTTGGATTTTTTTTAAATAGCTTTTCTTTTTTAAAACATAGTAGTTAAATCAGTTACCACTTCCTAGGGTGAATTCACTTCCATTGACGGGAATACTTGCAAACCAGAATAGGTCTTAATCCAGAACAGGTTAGATTTAACAAGGTTAATGAGATGCACATATAATTGTTATATTCTAAATTAAATTTGCACAAAATCACCCTTAACTACTTTGGTGTAGCTTTGTCTTTAGACTAAAGAATAACTGACCTATTCAAACACTCAAAAAGAACCCCCTTAGAATGCAACGTTTGAATACAGTTCTTCCAGGAAACCATGCATTTTTAACTGCATACACAGCTAGCAGCCCAGTTTAAAGGACATCATGGACTTGAGCCAATTTCATCTGCCACCCCACAAACAGCTCTACTGAAAGCACGTATATCCCTGAATGCGGTCATCTGATTGGGATTCTCCTACTAAAACACTGTTGATTTAAGCAGGACACAGAAGGGTTGACTGGGAGCAATCAGAGGCAAAGGTCAAACGTTTCCTATATTCTCCTAGCACCCACTTACGTGCAACACATTGTGTCGTGAAAAAACGAGTACCATTACAGTTCCTCCCTCCACTTCCTTCCCTTCCCTCGCTGCCAATACAATGTACTTTAATCCCATCTTTCTGGAACGCAGCTCTGTCCGGTGCATAATGCTGCCAGCCCGCAACTCTATGTAGTGACCAAACCAAAGCAAGAAGATTCAGCTCAAGCATATTTCCAATTAAAAAGGCTGTTTGTCTATTGTTCAGCCCCTTCCCCCACTATATATGTTATTTCAGAACAACACGTACGTATTTTTTGTAGTGTTACGAGACTACTGCATTATATGGCACGTGGAGGTCAGCTAACGGCAGGAGCAGCAGACTATGGTCTGCAACCCCTTGGTTAAATATTAAATTCTTTGTAATGTCAACAGCTTCATACGCTCACATAACCCAAGATAAGACCGGCCAAAACTAATAAATCCTGAAAACGAAGAAAAGCAAGAAGCCTAAGGATGTTTGTGACAATGCAAAAGCATGCTTGATGTATGAGCGAGGAAATGTTCTCTTCAAGCAAACCAGCATGCAAAACAAAGTCTCCAGCGACAGGCTCAGCCACACTGAAGTTTACACTACACCCTGTGGCAAACTCACTGCCACAAGCTCCAACCTAGCACCTAATTCAGAAGTCTGCTGGGATTATGGCATTTGTCAAAACACATACTTCGTGCAGCAGCAGCTGAGAAGTTTTATTATGTGGATGTATTTAGTATGTCTTAAAGTAGCATTACCAGCTCCCAACAAAGTTATTTATGCTCACTGTACACTACACTTGCAAATCTTTCACGGAGGCCCTGGCATTTTCCCAGAACTGAATGAACGGTCATGAACCATTTGCAAACGTCAGCCTCACAAGGGTACTTCCTCCATCTGCACTGAAATAAATGCCTGTGCTTTTCATCCCCTGTTCCTATGATAAAATCATTCTCCAACCACCAAACACATAATATTTAACAACTAGCTACCAACTACTATGGCCAACTGATAGGTGCAAACAGCAAAATATACTCCAGCACCTTCATAAAAACTCAACATCAACAAATCAGAAATAACAAAACCTTTTTACTGCATGCACTGAAGTTAACGAAAATAAAACAAATTCTCAATGCCACTTCCTGGTAAAGGAAACATTCCTACTAAAATACACTTTTTTCTTTTTTTTTTTTTTTTTTAAGCGTTGCCATTGTTTCAAATAAAAACTAAGATTACCAATACTGTACAGAAAATGTTTGCCTTCATCCACTTTCCAGCAATTTGTATGTATTCTATTTCTCCCCTTCTGATAGCTTTTGTAGTTAAACCTCCATTTTCTTCAGCCAGGGGAATATGATCACAGTTTTAACAGGAAAACCCAGAGCCATCTACAGTACCTCAACTTTGTCTGGTCCTTCATTGCCCATGCCCTGAATATCCCTTTAACACACAACCTCCAATTTTCACTGCAACTAGTTTCCACTCTATTTAAGAGCATGCTAACAACCTACTATACTTGTTCAAAACTCACTACTAAACATAAATACCAGACAGGACTATTAGATCACAAAAATCTAATCCTTCTCAGCTCAAACGACATTAAGGTTCACTCATCTGCTCCTAACTTGTATCTGACTAGAGAACACCACATTTAAACAAAAATATTCTCCAGAAAAACACCTGGTCTTCATCTGCAAACAGCAAATACATCAGCTTCCTTGGTTGTTTTAATCATTAGTCATGCTGCTAGAATTGTTTATTTTGTTTAAATGTGCAGCTCCATTTTCCAGCCTCAGGTTCGTATTATGCCTTTGTCTGCTAGACTAAATCCAGAGCCCACTATATGCTAACAAAGTAACCTTTTCAGATTCAGCAAACCAAAAATTTCACTCTCAAGGACCTCTTCTATCAGTAAATAATTTTCAGCTATTTTCCACAATTTTTCTTTTGTAAAAGCAATGCATAAATGGAAGCAGTACTTCAGAATAAAGTTCAGGAGTGTCCACATACAGAAATAAGAGACAGGGAAGAGCACCTACAGGCAAAAAGACGACAAAAGCTTTTGTTTTGCCACAGCATCAGCCCTTTAGGAGATCATGCCGAGCTGTTCTTTTTTCATCATCCACCACAACCCTGAAAATTTTTCAGTTGCTGCTTTCCAGAAAACAGCCCCTTGTTCTGGAGCTGTGCCTTTATTCCTATAATACAAATGGTCACTCGGCTATATCAAAGCATTTTTCATTTGAACTGGTCAAGTCTAGCAGAGGTCCAGATTTCTCTGCATGACTGGCTTACTTTTAATTGCCATTCCAAATTTTTTTTTTTTAAACTTTTTTTTTTTTTTTTTACTTTTAACTGCCATTGCTCAAATTTGCTGGTGTGGTAACGACAGAGTTTTCCTATCTGTTATATGAACCGTTCAGACATGGCTAGGGATAACACTGACATGCCACCCTATAGGAGAAGGCAAAATGGATGACTTCCAAGACACTCTCTTACTGTTCTGAAAATAATTTTGAAATAATGGGATATTGCTATAAAAGACAAGAAACTTCTTAAAAGCTAACATATCCCTTCCATATTTCTTGCTATCTCATTTGCTTTCTGAACTGCTTAAGCTTTAATAAAATAACTGAAAATTTAAGATTACAAATACAATTTTCACATGTTATGATCACAAATGCCAAATATTTTGCAGACATGAAGACATCTCTTGCCTGATAAAGAATGAACGAGAACCAAAATTGTTGTAGTACTTTAGATAACACATCACGATGGAACAACAGGAATGAAGCGATTAAGTGCTAACTTCAGCGTACTACTGGCTCCTTTTTTTAATATCATGAACACGAAGGGGACTAAATCTCACAATTACGCAGATTTCAAGCAAAAAGCATCAAATGAGGAGTCTAAAGTTGATAGTAAGTTTCAGCACTTAATTACATAAAAGTCTTGGAATAATATGGCTTTAAATCTCTGCAAGAGGGGCAAAGTATGTTGTTAACACCCACCAACATTGGAGAACTATAGTTCACAAATTCCTAATTTTGGATAAAACTTAAAATTTTATCATCTAGTATTGTCCATCCAGCAAAAGAAATTAATATTTCTTGATTCATTTTTAGTTAAAAAATAAGCTTATCTAAATCTATATATTTTAAACTGGAATTACAGCAAGAAACACCGTAAGAAATATCATTGCATGCATGCAGCAAAGTATCACTTCAAATATTTTTTGAAGACAACACAGAAACTCTGAAAAGGGTAAATAATTCATTGGTCTATCCAACAAGGTACACTTACATCTTCATTCCAGTCTTCTGCTGTCCATTCTTCTATTGAGTTTTTCCAGGCTCCTATTGTAATTTAGGGAAGGAAAGAAAACAGTTACAAGCTAAAAGCACAATGTCATATTTCAACCATTCTGCTTTACAAGCAATCCTGTTTTCATTATTAGCGGAACAGAAAGCGAGGAGATGGTGGTTCGAAACGGGAAGCTCTAGAAAATTGGTCTGAAGATTTAAAATTTTGGGGAGGGTTCCCCCTACCCCCTTCAATTTCTGATTTCAATAATTATTTAGCCGCTAAGGTACTAGACATAAATTGCACAAACACATGTCTGCAACCAGTGATTAACCCCAAACATTGGAAAAACTTCCTCCTATGTCCACAATGACAGCGAGAAGTTACTCAACCCTCCCACAGGATCTCCCAGTTTCATGCACGAATTCACAGAGTCTGAACAAAACACAATCACAACACCTACTCTGACACTCATAATCCTACTTTTAAATTACTCTAATTCCGGACACAAGCTATGCCTCTGGAGGCTCCTTTCCAACCTGTTAACTCTCTCCTCAGGGCAGAACAACCCAATAGAGCAATTTTATTTTAAAATTTTATTTTAAAACATATATAATTCGTATAATGGCAGCAGAAGAGTCAATAAGCTTCCACTGTAGCTGCAAAACAACTACAACCTTCCTGTAACTTGTGGCAGAGCTTATTTGGCAAACACTGGAGCATGCGGCAACGCGAAAACTACAGGAAACGGTCCCACAGATGCAAAAACCTGATCTCTTCCACAGGAACAGCAGGCACAGACGTGCAAGTGCAATGAACGGACTGAAGGCCTTGCCCACCAGCGTAAGCATGGGGAAGGTTATCGCAGCAACAACCAGAGCCTTCATTTAAACTCCGTAACCACCAGGGAAGAAAACACGAACAATAAAGTTCCCGCTACCATCACCCTTGATCAAGTACAAAAGCAAAAGCACTACTGCTTTAATCACCTCCTTTTACTTAACCAGGAACCCTCTGAGACACATTCATCCAGAAAGAAGCCCCCTGAAGACAGCATCAAGTCCAGGTGTACTAATGCCATTGCTACATTAGTCATTCTTCTGTACAACGTTACAAAGCAGCCTCTTGGGCAGAGGGGCCTCGAATGGCACCAACACAGGGTGGCCAACAGGCCTACCATGAAGATATGCACATGGTGGGGAGAAGAGTAGGGGTTTATACCTCGGAATGCAAAATTATTTGGCAGGTCCTGAGCAAGGTAAAGTCCACTCTGTGTTTGCTCTGTAGAGCAATACAGAGTTGGATGAAGCATCTCATGCTCACATTTTACCAAACAGCCTCCAACCAGGAGGTTTCTCCACGCTACTAAATAAGCAATAATTATACCTGAGCACAGCAAAATTACTACAATGTCTCAAATTTCTAGACTAACCCACACACTTCCACTGAAATTTTAGAAAGGAGAAAATGTCCAATGAGCAGCAGTTTTTAAAGAAATAGTTGGTTTCATTTCCCTTCCCCTGACCAGCTCAGGATCCCTTCCTCTGATATTTCTTCTTTAAAGAAATACATCCTGGTATTTGCCTTGCTTATATTTACCTCTCATCAGTCAGAGCAAGGCCTGCTTCTGTAGAAGACAAACCTCATGCTGGTGCCAGAATGCTAACAACAGAGTTTGGAGTTTGCTAAAACAAACACAAAGAAAAGCTCAGACAAATCAAGCCCAACTCTTGAGCATCCACCACCACCTTTGTGAGACCACACCTGTTTGGAATAATATTCAGGACATTTTCCTGACATTCAATTTAAACATTATCTGTTGCTCCTACTCATGAACATGGTTCTATGCGTTTACTCTTCTTAAATACTGAGCACAACACTCCACCCTTTTATTAGTTTACCCAAGCTGCTAAGTTTCTTATTGTTTCTTCTTAACACTCTACCTTCCCAACTCAGTTATTTCACTGCTCTCTGCATTAAATCCAGTTTGCTAATGCCGACCTCCTATTGATGGGATTCTAAGTCTGATCTTGCCACAAGTGCATCAACTTCCTTTTAGTCCAAAATCCGCCTTGGCATTATTGCAACACCATATATTCTCTTCCCAACATTTCCCCCATACCTTGCAAAGCATCACAATTTTAAGAGTTCTCTGTTTTCCACTGAAATTCTGCTTTGTGTTTTCCTTGTCATATCAACTTCAACCTAGATGGCTACCTGTAACTCCTTCCTGTTTCCCTTTGTAACAAGTTCAGTTTTAGAAAGCTATGAAGACAACAAAAAGTAAACGATACGTTTTTGTAAGTCTTCAAACATTTTCCTTCAATTCCTCACTTCCCATCACACTATCTGATTTTTCTTTTTTTTTTTTTTGAACAGTCAGTCGTAAATATTATAAAATAATATAAATAAAAATAATTTTATTTCGGTCTATCCCAAACTACGTACTAATCCCTTCCTTCTGGATTACATTCACATTCTAGAAAGATCGAAGATTTCCTTAAAGTGCTCCTTCTGAACTTCTACAGCAGTCCTAAAAAGAAAACCAAAAACCAAAACACCTACTTCCTTGTAACTTCCAAGCTACATAATTCCCTTTCTCCCCCTTAATAGTTACACTATAATTTATTATTTCCTATCATTCTTCATTTTCAGAGTCATTTAAGGCTGCTCATAACTAAGATAACAAAGGAAGTTTTTCTGTGAAATTTATGTAACTCTAACAAAGTAGATGTATCAATAAATTTCCAGAATACAATACCATTTCTATAACCTACTTCGAGAAGTGACAACCTCCAACATAATTTATTTGTAAGAACTGTGGTGATTTGTCACTCAGGATCTCCCACTGCTTTGTACATCACAAAAAAGGCAAGAGATTGAACACTCAGCATGCTGGTAAGAAAATATTAATCACACTGTTCAAGTTTTCCCTTTTGGATGAGTATTGGTCATTTTGTTCCCCCTCACTTGTCCCTTCTCTTTGCCTTTCATTGGTACATTACTTCTATAAAAATTAGGATGCAGGAAAACTGATTATGAATTATTTGGAATACAATTACACTTAAATGTTATGAACCATTAAAGCTTCACCCTCTACTCTCATTTTACTTCAATCAACAACACTAAATTTTACCTCCACACAACCAGCTAGCCTTTCTATACACGATGGTGCACCTCGAAACACCTTTCTTTCAGGCTACAGTGGTTCCTCTGGCATCTGCAACAATTCAGGCAGGACAAGCGGTTCCAGAGTGCTTTCAGAGCACATATGGGGACAACTGCATTTTGGAAACAAACAGCGTATTTCTTTCTACTTGAAAATGCTGATATTGATCATTTCCCAGCACTGGCTTAAAGGGGAAATACTTAGCAAATGCTCAGAACTCTCATGGAGTTTGTATTCACATGACGTCTTCAGAAAACACTTTGGTAAGCAAACTGGGCTTTTTTCTCTGGCTAGTTGCCCAGTTATCTCCTTTTTAATGGAACTGCAGATGAAAGACACTAATTTTTCAAGCAGCTAGCACAAGCTAATTTTGTTTTCTTTCCTTTTAGATGAAAGAAGAAAAGGGTCTGGGTAATGATGACTAAAGAGAGGGATTTCCATCCTGCCCTTCCTCTGTGTATACTCTTATCTGACATCCTTCATTAGCCCACTGCAGGCTTTATGAATGTCACACATTTACGTCACCCTCATTCACATCTTCAGTAACTCCAGACTGGGAACTTACTTGTTACTGGGACTGTTGTAACTTACATAAAACAATGTAAATTAAGGAAAAGAAATAAAACTCAAAAGTAGTATCTGTCATTAACAAGCGAAATCACCAGCTCAATGTTGTAC